AGCGCAGGAACTTTATAGAATTTCTTCTTAGAGCAGGACTGGTGATTGAAAGAGAAACTTACGACAATAAGAATGAATATTTAAAGATTTTTGCGCCATTCTCTTTGCTTTGTGAAAATGCTCAAAGTATGAAACTCAAGTTCCCCTTGAAGGTAAATTTCATTTTTCTGCTTTAATTCGTCTTATGCATATTAAAAATTTATATTAAGTCATAATTGTTTTTTCCTTTAATATATTTAATATAGCAACATGAGTTTCTTATCTACCTTTACATTTGATAACATAAATCACAACAAGCATACTGATTTCTTCTTTATAAACTGAAAAAATTCAAAAGGGTGTTAGGTCACTCATCACCACCTTTGAACCTTTTCAAATTTTTTGTTTTATTGGTAAATTTTCATTGAATCTTTAAATCTCATCTTCTATATTATAATAAAAATCCATTACATGTATGCTTTTCGATAGGTTCACCGTATCATAAACGTAGCCAGTTACTCTGATTTAAAAAGTTACGTCAATAATGAAATATTCAAAAATAAGTACGAACTATCAAAGCTTATAAGTGATAAAGTCTTCACTGGATATTATCCTCTTCATGATAAGTCAAAAAAGAGCTTGGATATATCTTTTCATGATAAATCAAAAGAGAATTTGGACGAACCTTTTCATGATAAGTTAAAAGAGAATTTTGACAAACCTCTTCATGATAAGTCAAAAGAGAACTTGAATAAAGATCTGACAGAAAATACGAGAATATTTTGGAGAAAAGTTGGTTTGTATTTTGCATTTATGAGTGGTACATTTTTTTTTTACACATTGTATATACGTCTTTGTGTATTATCTAATGACTGATAACGATAACGAAATCGAATTCAGGATTTTATACGAATTAGTTGATAATTCCTTTCATCGTTGGAGTGATCGTGTTTATTTATGGATTGATTGATGCTTTTAGGTTTGTAATTGTATTAAAGCATTCCATAAATATTTAGCGATGAACTTTATCCCTTTTTTTT